GTTTTCTTGTTCCCAGTTGGAGGTGATCTCATGGCAACTTCAAGTATACTGTCAGTGGGTATCTTTAGGACATGGATAACACATCACGGCTTAGGGGCCAACCATCTGACTTTTGACGGAGGTTATGGGTGATTTCAGAAAAAAAATATCCCGCAGACTGATTCTGATATAAAAATGACAATCTTGCGAGAAAATAACCTCGCAAAAAAATATCCTGCACTGAAAAAAAAATATCTCGCATGGCCTATAACGCTGGAAAAAAATCTTACACAGTTGAATGTTGTGGAAAAAATTCTTTCTCCAGAGTTTTGGGGAAAAAATCCTTACCCAAACCAAATCACACATACACCCCCTCAAAAGTTAAACGGACGACCCCTTACATATTTTGGGTTACAGTGGCAATAAAGTCGCGTTTCGTTGCGTTTTTTGTCTCCTGCTTTGCGGACTGAATATTACGTCTTTTTTATTTTAAAAACCCATTCCATTTCAAACCGAGAGTAAGGGAACATATAGTAGGCAGAGACGAAAGAGGTGGATCTCTAATGGCCATGAGGCAGGGGTTGTCCGTAATGGGGCTCAACTAGATTAAACTGATGAAAATTCAATAAAAGAATCCAGCATTTAAAGTCAGTGAGGTTTTTTCTATTAAAATAGTTCTCTAAATACAATTTTCATCAACTATAAACTACTCTACGCGTTAACAGTAATGGTGCCATAACCAAGTTCAAGAGCTCCATATTTTTTTCTACAGTTCACAACATCCCGGTGAACCAAGAGAAAAATACAACAGAAAGTTTTCTTAAACATGGACTCATTTCCAAATGATTTGAAAATAGTCGGCGAAAGCATTTTTTTTCGTGAAGCATTTTTGATCGCTTACGACAGTGATCAACGGGAGTTAAATAAAAGAAAACATTTTAACATTTACTTCACCATACTGTAATGAAATATTTGGTTTATACTAAAAGTTTTCATAGCAATTAAAAAAAACTATCCTGTGACTACAAAACTTGGGTTGTTTATTTCCACAATTCAGACCAAGCCATGTTACTCTTGAGAACAGTTTCTTTCACCCTATTCATGTGTATACAAACTTGCGTATTATAAAACAAACAAAGAAACAAACAAAGCAGAAAAAAGATCTCCTTAAGAACGTCACATGGTCTGAAATAGGTAAACTAACAATCTAAACTAAAAAGAATTAATTGCAAATAATATTTGAAAATTAATAAAATTAAAATTAACAAAAAAAATGTCTGTTTCCCCAGCTTCACTCGTTTGGGAGTGAGTTTTAGTTTGTTAAATATTCTCACAATAACCTACAAGGAATGTCCTGAACTCCATTATGTAATAATAATTTAATATTAAAATAGTCGCAATTAAAGAAATTTACGCATTCATAGAAATAGCACTACCTTGTGAATTTACTTTTAAATCGCTCTGTTCTCATATCGTTTAAGAGGGAATTTGTACAATCGATTCCAAAATCTCTGATAGCTTTTGAAAGCAGTAGAACCCCATCAGATTTTTATCCGTGGTCATATTAAATTACAATCTGATATCGCCAGTGAAAACGTCACTAAAAACTGACTCCAGTGCCGTAGACTACGAGCAGTCTCTCTTTTTTCTGTAGTCCGTCGAGCAAAACGCGAGACACGCAAATGGCCACGCGCGTGACTGATGCCGCCCTCGTTTCGCGCGTCTCCCGCGCGCGTGCATTGCTCTCACTAAGATCTGAAGAAAAAGAGAGACTGCTCGCAGTCTACCAGTGCCGTGTGAGCATAGCCTCGGTTAACCACAAAACAGGGTACTGATTATAAGAGCCATACTTTTTACTTTAAGTGAATAAAAGCTTATACGGTGGGTTGAATAGACCTATTCACCTATTCGGCTAACTCATAAGATTCTTTGTGTATTGTATTAGCATTATAAAGTGGCATTCACATTTAAATGATGTGGAAATTGCTGAAACAAAACGTTTTATTCTCAAAGGGTTTGAATTGGGTATAACATTGAGTTAGCCGAATAGGTCTATTGCTGTCCTGTCGATTAAAAATGTTTAGCTTGTCCAAATAATGACAACACCAAAATGGCTCATAATAATTAATATTTTCAATGTTTTTCGTAGCGATATTATTGTCTTGTAATAGAACAATAATACTAACTATAGAGGCCTGCACCTACTTACAATAGCAACCCCCTTACCCCCCGCTTCCAAGACATTTCCTGCAGAAAAAGAAGCGGGTTTTTTGACGGCATTTGTACCTTAGGTGCTACTCTAAAGGTTTTGACTGTTGAAGGAGCTGCCTAACGAAATTTATCGAATTCAAACAGTGGGAACTGCTACCAAATTTAGTGAAAAGAAGGTATAACTAGCACAGTAAATACAGAACTAGGCAAGGACGGACAAATTGGAAGAAGATTACAACGGATTAGAATTGTGGCTTTTGAAAACTTGTAACCCTAACAGTTTTTCAAAGATGCTTGTCGCGTTCCTTAATGCTTAGGAGACATAATTTGTTTGACACGAAGCTGCGATTTTGTTATTCGCTTGTAGTTCCTTCACAGTAATGTTGAGTCAGTTCCACAGCGAATAAGGACGCGAATTAAAATAAGTAATTACAAAAATAAACTAGGCATCCCAGGGAGGTGACACAGGGCCCTTTCAATCTCAACTCGCTGTTAAAGCTGTAGCGACCAGCTAAACAGCTACTGTTTAAATGACCTCTGAGGCAAAAAATCGTCTAAGGATGGACCACAAACTGTGAAGTTCAAGCAAAAATACATTTTTGCAACAAAAACTAACAATAACAGATCACTGAACGAACGTCAAGGTAATCTTGACTTGGTCGTCTTTTATCTGTTTACAAAACTATTTAAAATATGTTTTGCGCATATCGCAATCTTTTTAGAAAGTCTTCGGTTAATTTTAACAACGCAAAGAGAAAATAACGAACAAAAAATTTAGCTGTATCGGCGTTTAAAGAGTGTTGTGCAAGTTATCCCTGGCTTAAAAATATAAAGGTGCTACTTTATTGGGAAACAAGTAGGTTTTGTACACTTCCGAACCTTAGCACTGTTGGAGAACATTTATCTAATTCTAAATGGACTGCTTCACCTGTTTACAAAAACATGTGAGCAAAATATATAATCTTACCCATCGTAGTACGATTTTGACTACACACACCTCATTCTTTAGCAAAATAAAGGGGCCGCGTCGGTCACGGCTGGCTCTGAGTTCATTTTGTCTATAATGCCAATAACGTGTTCCTATTGGCTATGGAACATGAGAAACTACTTTTGAATAAAAAACACAGCTTCGTGTTCAACAAACAAGTTACCTGAACATTATCGAACAATACAAAACGTTAGAACTTTAGAAAACTGTTAGGATAACAAGTTTTCAAAACTGAAGCACAATTACAATCTTCATATCTTCTTCAAGTTTTTCCATCTGTGCCTCCTTTGTATTTGGTGTGTTATTTAATATACCTTCTTTAACGTTTTGAACGGTTTTATAATTTTTTTTCAGTTAATTTTGTGGCAGTTCTCATTGTTTCGTGACATAGCTTCATGGGCGGTTAATGCACCTAATAGCTTGACTGTCCAGTCCTGTTCTTACACGACACAAAAAACAGCAGATGCATTATTTATCTAGATAGGAATTATGCATCACGAGTTCAATGATTAAAAAAATGAAAGCTAATTTAATAGTTGCCTCAGTCCCCATCTGTCATCTGAAGGAATTGTGCATAAGCATCACGTGAACATTCTCCTTTTGAGTTGAATGCAAATTTGTAATAACTTCCATCTGCACATACAGCTACAGAGAAATAACAAACAGATTTAGAAGACAGGAGATAGAATACCTTCCTGTGAAATGACTGCTCAAGGCAAAACAAAAAGTGAAAGAATATTAGGTTGCCAAAGTTTAAATAAAAACTAATGTTATCAGATATGTCTAAAGCTTTTAACTACACTGCTACAAACCAGTACTCTGTAATTTTAAAAAGATTTTATGCCACTTTTTTTAAATAATGAATATAGGAATTTCATATACTTAAACCAAAAAGGAAGTTTACCCAAGACCAATCCCAGTGTGTGACTAACCAAAAATAAGTTACCAAATATTACAATGAAGTCTATCGTAAGTACTTTTCTAAAGTACTTTTTATTATATATGCTGCACGATATATGCTGCACGATCTACATGTAGCTCTAACTTTGGGGCTGGGAATGAAAAAAATAGAATGAGACCATTTAAAGCAAGATACCGAGCATTTTGTACATTCCTATGGTGATACCTGGTTGATACCCGACTGGTTAGCTGAGTTTAGAAGAGCATTGGCCTGCCGAGTGGGAGGAAGTGGGTTAAAACCCCAGCTAGACTAACCAAAGGTGGATAGCACTATCCAGTGGATAGTTATCCAGTGGATAGCGCTATCCAGCTTTTGAACAACTGGGGCCAGGGACTTAAAAAAGTCACGTTATTGGCAAGGATGTGGCAAAGAAAAAGCTAAGCAGGCTTTTTTACTTGTCAAACTGGGCTTTGTACTCTATTGCACCTTTGACATTTCCCCCACGTCTTTGATTTTCTTTGCAATTTGAGCCAGCCAGTGGTAAGCTCTTTATCAGCTGGTGAAATAAGCCGACATCCAGCTCACAGAGACATCCCTGCATCGGGTGGTAAAGTTATTAAGCAGTTGGCCTTGTCTCCTTCATCCTTCTTTCATTGACCAAATGGAAGGCATTTTTGTAAGAGAAAGGGAAGAGTAGAACAAACGAATAGGGGAAGTTCCCTTAATGGTGTGGTCTACCTTACACACATCATTCATATCATGGGCTGGGTGGGTTAAAGTATAAGCTCATAAATGCACTAAGGGCGATGGCCAGTTGAACCCTTGTATGCTGACCTCCAAGCTTACTGTTAACATGTTAATAATAATAAATATAAGGAGGGCACGTCTGTTGTCCTTGCACCCATAATATTTCATTCATTCTTAAATAGGATTAACATTTAGCTTACCTATAACAGTGTTTTTCTCTGTTCCAAATGCACACACACAATGAGGATCACCAGGAACTTGAAATCTGGAAAAACTCCACTTGGAGCTGAAGTACTTTGGAAGAAAGTTATGTGCTGAAGCAAGACTAAAGAAATAGACACAAAGTGAACAGAAATTCACACTACTTTACCTCCTAAAGATATATTATTTGCCTATTATTTACAGGTTTTAAGTAACACATGTCAAATTGATGCCAGTTAATGTTGTTTTTCTTACAGGGTTTCTGATAGTATGTGATGCTGTGTTTTTGTGAAATTACTGACTTCAATTACATCCAATAGCATAATCCTAAAGCCCGCAGTCATGAGTAATGCAAGTGCAGGCATAAGCATAAATATAAGAGTAAGCATAATGCAAGCAATAGCAAAGAAGAAGCTTATGTGCTAGTTTTTAAAGCTGTGACATAAGCAGAGGCATAAGCATAAGAAACATACATCGAAGGTTCTGATATTCTTGTGTTTATGCTTAAGATCCTTACAACAATGTTCATATGAAATAAATAATCTGCACAATCTTGAATGCACTGTAAGAATTAGCAACACTGAAACATCACACGGAGCAACTGGCACATTTTACAATCAAAGTAAAAACCTAATATCAATTCAACATTAAATATTATTTTCTCCACAGACCAAAGAAATCACATGAGCAAAAAATATGATCCTTTTTGCAGCATAATGACCTCCTTGAAATTAATATACACAATTTCCTGACCATTTTTTTACACTAGTATATGTTACAAGTGAAATTTTATTTCAGGTTAACTTTGATTTAACCAAGGTGGGGGGAATTCTCAGAAGACAAACTAGAAATTGAGAATCAACCTAGGTTGAAAACTCTTAACCCATAATCAACTTTGACCTGTAACATATACATCAGAAGGTCTGCTTTTATGACTAAAGACAATGTTTAGGGTATGAAATGCATGGTTGCAAAGTATACTGTAACCAGAAGGGGAAAGCACAATCATACCTTGACTGTTTGTTTTTCTTGGGTTCTTCAATATCAAATATGTGCACAGTGCCATGGTCACTGGATACACAAAGCAGTTCTGAATCATGGTTAAAGTTGATACTGTGAATGAATCAAAAGTAGAAGGCTCCTTACCTTAAAGCAAAATAAAAAGTCATGTGGTCTGACTGACTTTTAGCATAAAACAACCAAATCTAGCCATAAAATGTTGAATCACATAAAAAAGCCAGCAAACAACAACTTTTAGGTTTTTTGATTAACCCATTCACCCCTGAACTCCCCATAACTGCCTGTGCAGATCCATGCGTCCCTTCTACTGCTTGTAACCTCATCAGTTTTAATGGTCAAGGACAACTTTGTCAGCTATAAACTTTGGAAGGTTGATCAGATCTTTCAAGCCATACCAGAATGAGCATGATTGAGATTTGGTCAAGGAGGCCAGAGAAAAAGGCAAAAAACCATGACACGATTGACCCAAAAATTCCCATGAAATCTTGTTCCACTACCCACTGGCCTTTCCTAAGTTCCCGAAAGCTTTTCCAAAAACTTTTTCCACTGAAATGAAGTCCACTGAATGCCCAGCAAAAGAAAGAAAATTAGCAAAAGAAGAGGGAACTGGGGGGAGCAAATATTTTGCTTTCTGCACATACCCAGAATTCAAATGCTAATGTTTTGCATCCAGTGGATAAAAAGGCCATGAAGTGTCAACCTATAAAATTATTGGCTCAGTGGTAAGTTTTTGCTCTTTATAGCAGACTGTCACCACACAAAATGGCTTGACTAGCTTCAGAGTGCATTTTCAGCAAAACTCCCGGGAGCAAATGGGCTAAAAGCATTCACTGCATAATCAAACATTGAAATTCTAACCCTAGGTAATTTTTTGGACCTGCATGGGTAATGTCAACCTTTTCCAGGAGGTACAAGAAATCAAGATTTTGCTGTATAAGTGTTTCTTTCCTTATTAATTAAGTTCTTACCAGTAAATATTAGCACTTCCAGACCCACGCCTTAGCTCATGAAGTTGTGTTCCACTACTTGTATCAAACACTCTTATTAAAGTTCCCTAGGGATAAACAATATCCATTACTATTTGCAGTAGTTCAGTGACAATCTGATTAAGGCACACTTTCCAGTGTTGACTCATTAAGGGATGCAAAGAGAATTGAGTAAGAAGAGGCATTGGAATAATTGACTGTCTGAATACTTTGGCAGCACTGTTTGTGAGTAACGTTTCAGTACTATCATTAATAACCATAAAAATTTACAATGTAATAATAGGTCACTGTAAAGACACTCAAAGGTGTCACTTTGATTGCTACAAGAGGCCAGTTTCATCACAGCAAATTAAGTATTTTAACATACCTTTTCTGAGGCTGTAGCGAGCCTTGTTCCCTGTAAATTCATTGCTATGCAGCTCAGTGCTGCCTCATGAGCTGCAATCTCTTGTGGAGGTCGTTCTGTGTTGGCTAAATCAACAATCTGTACATGGCCTGTCTTTCGTGCAGGAAATGCTAATAATGAGTTGTTGCTGCTTGGACATAGCACACACAAACCTAATGAAATAAGGCAAAAACAATTTGTTTTTTATTTTTATTTTAGGGAAGAGGACAAAAAAAACCCTAATCTATAAATTCAACACCCTACACTTAAAATCAGTATGTTCTAAACGAGACGATAAAAAATCCAAAACTGGCCTTTGAAAAGTCACTGCAAAGTAAAACAAATTTTCCAGTACTTTCTGTTTCCCTTTGAAAACGCATGTTAATCGTAGGTCTGTCTGTCTGCAGTCATAATTGAGCACAGACTCACATACTAAATTCAGTGCACAGTAAAGATAAATAGTTTGAAATGAGACAACTGATCAATGATACAATGATAACTACACCTTTAGGGTTCAGAGCTGTTTCAAACACATGGAGCTGCTGAGGATTTTGAGTGAAGGTGAAGACTTTTATGAGCTCTGCAAGCACAACAACTATCCTAAAAAGAGAAGCAGTGAAATTAAATGTTATCAGTAAATAGCAGGGCTTTGTTATGATCGACTTAGCTGCTAAAGAAACAATAAGCCATCCATTGATCAGAATCAGCTGTTCATTTGTAACATACCTGTCCCTTCTCAGTTTCACAGCTTTGACGTCACTTGAAAAATCCAACTCAATGACACATTTCTTCTTCAAATCATCCCAGACCATCACTAGGATGAAACAAGATGCCAAATAAATAAATGGGGGAAATTTAACAAATACAATAGAGTAAATTAAACAGACCGACCATTAGAACTTGTGATAAGGCACACTAATACAATATTATGAGATGAAATAATAAATATATGAAATTCGTAAATTAGAACTGCAAGAACCAAGTAAATGACCAGCTTTCATGTTAGTTGCTGAATTGGTAGAGCACTGATGAATCATGATGGGGGGGGGGGAGGTTAGCTCAGAAAAGCAAAAAACAGCTACTTTAAGATCCCTATAATTCTTCATATCATACAAAAGCCAAATTCAGTGATAATTTCAACCCAAAATATTTCTAAATTCAGTAAGTTCAACTTTTTACCCAAAATATTTCTTAATTCAGTAATAATATTTCACCAAAAATATTTCTTAGTTCTTAAAGTCTTTTAAGTTTCAACCTTCTCATACACTTTCTTGAAACATTTGCCTATTTCATGGGCAGGGTTTTTCCTTGCTGATACTCCTCAAAAAGCAAATGACATCCATTGAGCAATATTTTTCCATAGCCTTGCAATCACTCCATTCCTTTGTAGTTAGTAATTAAGCAATTTCATCTTCACAGAGCAGTGAACTCTTTCACCAATATACTAGGAAGATAGCTTTCATGAAAATAAGTGAGGTTTCAAGGACGTGGAAGGGGATCTGAAAAGCACTTCATCATGATCACATTTGAAGAACACAGAGCCATCTTTGCTGGGAGCAATAACATGTGCAAGTTACGAGAAACTAAGGTGTTTCAATTGATTTTTTTCAGTAAATCTCATTTTGGACCAGTTTGATTTCCACCAAAAGTCACTTCTGCTGTATAAATTCATTTCCAAAAGTAACTATAAATTCTTCCTACATTGCAAGCCATTTCCAGAGCTGAAACTAACTCTATAATTGGCTAAAATTTTCTACTTCTGTAGCAATAGAGGTAATACAATTTGTAGGGGTTGTAAAGCAAGAGTTAAAGTCAATAAGAAAAGGTAAAATATTTCTAATAGTATAGTTTATTGTCACCTTTATTTTTGGGATACTTGGGATTTTGCCCTCCTCCCACAAGCGCAAGATAGTTACAACGAAAAAGCATCTCAACATAGTTGATGCCTCCATCAGGAAAATCTGTAAGAAAATTGACTATTAATAGACACAGCTGGTTCAGTCTACAGATCTAAAGTAGCTTAATAAATCCTTAATGTAGTCTAGGAGATAGTCTGATGATAAACACAAATAGCAAATAGTTCCTTATGTATGCCAGACAGACAGATTAAACTTGGAGTAATTAACAACATGCCGACCAGTTTACTTTATCATATCTCTTGTACAAAAACGGTTAAAGAATAAAACAGATCACATCTGTGTTACCTGGGTACTGAAAAACAGGGCCCTACTTGTTTCCTTACCTCAGCAACAAATAAAAAACTTCTATGATAAAAGGAGCTGTGATTACTTTATACTTAAGAATTGCAACAATGACGTCACCGTTGTGCCATCAAAACTAATGCTGCACTAAAAGAGTGGTTGTAATGGGGTTGAGACATTCATTGTCATTCCATTCAGATGATTTTCTCAGTCTCTGTTGAGTATAAATTCTAAAGACAGAGTAGTATTACTAATTCTCAACCTGAATTTATCTAGTTTGAATTAGTACCATGTACAAAGGTTTTATTTTTCATTTGAAATTTTTTGTCGTAAGCTTGATGCAACTGGTCTCCTGACATTTGAGGACAGCACCAACATCCGTCTCTCTGCCATAGGCACTGATCAGGGTGTAAAGTAAGTCAGTGTAAGAGCTTGCCTTTTGAGCATGCTGCAGTTAGCAAGTACTACAGGGGCATAGCCAGGATTTTTTAAGAGTTGCACACAATTCTCCAAATAAAATCCCAAAAAAATTCCTTTGCCCATCGGGCAAGTTAAGAACAGAATTTACTAAAGCACTTTGCCTAGATCCTAGGCCTCATTTTTATGCATGGCCAATGCGTTTCAGGTCAGGTGGTCCGAGAAAGTTTTTGAGGCCTAGACAAACTCAGAGAAGTGAGACATTTTGTCTCACTTGGGGCGGAGCTTTTGGAAGCGGGCGAGCTGTCAATAACTTTTCCGCGCTGATGACAGCAGCCATGGAGAGTACAGAGGATAAAGAGTTAAACCGAGCATTTTTATTCTATGCACGTTTTCATTGTTGAAAGTCCTTTGGCCTTTCTTTTTCATTTATCTCATTAAACTAATTTGAACTTTACTTTATCTCAAAAACTATTGTAGGCTAAGCAAAAACAGCATCGCAAAGAAATTATTTGATCAAGAATCGGACGGTAAGCTAAAGAAATAAGTTTATATTTATTCTTGGATATGAAAAGCTATCTTTCGTTTCTCTATTTTCACTTGCTCCTATAAATTTCTCGTTATCATTTCACTTTGAAATATTTTAAGTAATTTAATTTTTGGATTTGGAAGCTTATCAAACTACTTGGACAGGCTGTTGAATTTGGTCTCTAAATTTGGTAGAAATGTCAACAAACTACTGTTTCAAATCTTTTTATCAATAAAGAAATATCATTTTAATAGTTCATTTGAAAATGAACTAAAAGAGAAATTACTCGCACGTTATACAGTAGTATTCTTTCCGATTCAAAGTAACAATTTTGTTCTTTGATAACAGAAACCAGGATAGTGCCAATCTTTAAGTGAAGGATATTCACGCGCAAAGTTATTTATAGTTTATTTCAGTTGAACGGGGGAACTTTTCAAAAATGCTCACGCATGCGCACTCCGACATTGTCTAGGCGTCTCCCGGCCGTTCGTCTCGGATACGTGACCAAAATGCATTGACCGAGAAAAGGCCTGGAAAGACGCCGTATAGGGACTAGGCAATAAAGCACTCACAAAATCCACTAGCCACATGGGCTCACTGACATGACTTTCTTTGAATACTGGTACATTATATTACTTTCTGATTATATGAACGTTGACATTTCTGCTGTGGTGTCCACGTTTTTGGGCCCACCTTTTAATCAAAATTAATCTCCAGATTCTCAGTTCCTGCAGTTTGGTCGGTCTGTTATATAAGAATAACGTCCAGGTTTTGAATTAGCAAAGCTTGTTTCCTTCAGGAGATATAAGACTACTTTCCTGCCCTCTCGAGAGGGAAATCGTAAAATGGGTTTTTAAAAGTAGAAAAGTTTAACAGCTTAAAGCTAGTACCTACTAATCTACTATGATGATGACAGCAAAAGATCAATTTAATAATCTAATTAGTACGTTGGAGCCCCACTGATAATATCATACCTTGGCGTTCTTTTTCCTTCAAAGGATCGCAATTGTATATCCTAAAACCTTTTTCCATGCCACAGGCAAAACAACCTTATATTCAAAGAAGGAAGTACGCAAGAATTGTCAGTCGAGTCGCATCATCACGACATAAGGTTACATCCATCTCAAGAATGTACCAAAAACACAATACCTTGGTCTTGATTGAAGCCTGCAAACAACAGCCCATTGCCATACGAATTTGCGTGGCTGATATTCATTCTCCTCAGATACCTACTAAATCCAAACGAGAAAACTCACACATTTTTTAACTTTAATAAGAGAACGGGAACAACTTTATAGTCTGCCATCTTGAATTTACGCACCCCACGTGATTGGTCCGACTAGTTCCTTTTAGAAGTATCCCAGAATCCAGTTGGAGTAACAACAACAAAGATGGCGGCCAATGCGAAGTGGAAATCTTGATGTACGAACATTTTAAACCGTTATTTAGAGCTCGTGTGGTTATGAATCCTGGTAGCAGAAAAGTATTTCAAGCGAAGCCACCGGATAAGGGAAGCTTCCCTTTAGATCATGATGGTAAGTGGAAATTTTGAGAGAAATGGCAGTGGAGTGTTCATATAATGGCGCGCTGAAAAATTATAGTGATACCTATAAAATATATGTTATAACAGGTGAATGTAAAGAATACATGAAGAAATATATGAACTGCTTGAAGAAAAACAACAATGACAACCATAAGTGCAGAACAGAGTCAAAGGATTACCTTCAGTGTAGGATGGACAGGTACCCTGTGGGTAATTTATTGATTGTACAGGGATACCAATATAAATAGATGAATGAATGAATGAATGAATGAATGAATGAATGAATAAAATTTAGGGGGCCCATGTACAGTGTGGGGCCATAAATTAAATTACCAAATGTGTTAACATTATTTATACTACATTTCGAAGATTTTAAGAAATCCGTATCTAAACACATTTTAACCAGCTTTTGCAAATCAGGCGAGAACAATGGTTTTCTTAACTAGCTGGGGAAGGTGTTTTAAAACCACCACACAGGGTAGTTTATCACAGGTCTTTGAGTAACATAACTGTATCAATCAATCATCTTCACCTATATGTAAGACAGGCACTACAGTTTCGAGAATTCTGAAAATTACACCTTTCACTTAGCATCCAAGTTCAGCTTTTCGTTCTTAACATGATTATGTCTAGACTNCCATCTCAAGAATGTACCAAAAACACAATACCTTGGTCTTGATTGAAGCCTGCAAACAACAGCCCATTGCCATACGAATTTGCGTGGCTGATATTCATTCTCCTCAGATACCTACTAAATCCAAACGAGAAAACTCACACATTTTTTAACTTTAATAAGAGAACGGGAACAACTTTATAGTCTGCCATCTTGAATTTACGCACCCCACGTGATTGGTCCGACTAGTTCCTTTTAGAAGTATCCCAGAATCCAGTTGGAGTAACAACAACAAAGATGGCGGCCAATGCGAAGTGGAAATCTTGATGTACGAACATTTTAAACCGTTATTTAGAGCTCGTGTGGTTATGAATCCTGGTAGCAGAAAAGTATTTCAAGCGAAGCCACCGGATAAGGGAAGCTTCCCTTTAGATCATGATGGTAAGTGGAAATTTTGAGAGAAATGGCAGTGGAGTGTTCATATAATGGCGCGCTGAAAAATTATAGTGATACCTATAAAATATATGTTATAACAGGTGAATGTAAAGAATACATGAAGAAATATATGAACTGCTTGAAGAAAAACAACAATGACAACCATAAGTGCAGAACAGAGTCAAAGGATTACCTTCAGTGTAGGATGGACAGGTACCCTGTGGGTAATTTATTGATTGTACAGGGATACCAATATAAATAGATGAATGAATGAATGAATGAATGAATGAATGAATGAATAAAATTTAGGGGGCCCATGTACAGTGTGGGGCCATAAATTAAATTACCAAATGTGTTAACATTATTTATACTACATTTCGAAGATTTTAAGAAATCCGTATCTAAACACATTTTAACCAGCTTTTGCAAATCAGGCGAGAACAATGGTTTTCTTAACTAGCTGGGGAAGGTGTTTTAAAACCACCACACAGGGTAGTTTATCACAGGTCTTTGAGTAACATAACTGTATCAATCAATCATCTTCACCTATATGTAAGACAGGCACTACAGTTTCGAGAATTCTGAAAATTACACCTTTCACTTAGCATCCAAGTTCAGCTTTTCGTTCTTAACATGATTATGTCTAGACTTGCACTAAGTCTACCCCTTGTTATTAAGGGGTAAAATTATGTCGCACACGAAGTGAGCATTGGATGCAACCCAAGTGAACAGTAAAACAAATCCATGCAACTTTGAAGGTCTTTTGAAATTGAGTCCAGGTGCTTTATTTAAATAACCCAGTTTTATAAACTATTCTGACCAGGTTACAAATAATTAGAGGAATTTTTTACCAGGTTATTAAAAAACTAACCTGATTGCTAAGTGTGGCCACAACAAAATTAATGTAAACTTGCAGAAAACATACAACTGAAACACCTAAATAAATATTGCACTTAACCTTTAGTATCTTCGAATTTCAAAGGGATTATTTTGGTGACTTTACCATCTTGAAACATTGTCAGAGACTCAGTGTCAGTCAGTCAGGTCAGGAGAAATGATGCATTTGTTATGCCAATCTTCTTGTCCTGACTGACTGTCACTGAGTCTCCGAGAATGCACTTCAGCTATATTTATTTACTATTTAGATGACATGTTGAGAGTAATTGCTGAGAAATATTCTCCTTACATGATACAAGTTAGAAATAGCAGTTACTGTAAAATTCCAAAAATAAGCCCTGGGGCTTTTATTTTTCGAAGGCCCTTTTTGAGGGGCTTATATTTTGGAGGGGTGATTTAATGGAGGGTTTTTTGTGTTACTGGTGTGGAGGGGCTTATACATGGAGGGACTTATTTTCGGAATCTTACAGTAGTTTACTTCAGGTAAGAATAGCAAGAATGGCTGTAAAGAAATATTTTATTTTACTGTTTACTTTGTAGACAACTTATGGTAAAGGAAGACTTTCGAAGGCTTGGGTATTCTGAGGATTCAAACTCAAAGGGTGATTCTGCAAATTTGGGAAACTAAAGAACTATGGATTGTCAGCTGACACTAGCAACTAGAGTTGCATAGTTTCCAATGATGTACGTACCTGCAGCAATATTCCATTAAGTGCTCCACTTTTCCTTCATAACATTGCAGGGATTTATCATTGATAGCAGTATTGTATGGTTGGCTCCATGAGTTGTTGATATGAAGCAAATCCTATTTTTTGACTGTCAACAGTTACAGTTTTCATATGTGATAAACAAAAAATAGCTTAAAGAACCTAAAGAAGGGTTACTTGGGCATTTGCATTGTTTTCAGCTATTCCATAATTACCTTTCATTCCTTTTCTTTGGTTTTCTATTTTTTTTTTTTGTATTTGTCTGCAACAACTTGGCCAATATCCAGCCATATTGTCAGACCTACATGTAGTACTTGGTAATGAGAACTGCAGTCTTTTGTACTTCATATTTTTCTGTTTTACATCCTTTTTTCTACTGTAGTCACACAGGCTTGTTACTAGGTCCATACTCACTCCATTTAACAGCTCTAAGATCACCATTATTCTTATGCCAATAAAATTGCTATAGATATTAAAGAAAATAAGTTAATAAATCCCTTGAGACCTTGAATTACGAGTTTGTCCATCTTACTATTTAAGATACATGTATACTGTACTAAGAAAGTTAGTATGCAAATACATAACCCAATATGAACTTTCTTTTATACATTAAAGCAGTTGAGCCTTTGTATTTTAGAGCGGTTTTCACTTGACTGTCGAAAGTAATTGAGGAATTGGTTTGGTTTTGGTTTTACTACGCCCTTTGGTTGGCTAGTGTATTTACTTTGGTTTTGGTTTAATGACAGTCAAGTGAAAACCGCTCTAAGAGGTTGTTATGTTCGGCTTTAGCCACCTTGACCTTATTGTTACTTTGAAAAATTTATATCTTTAAATAAACACAACTGACCCATCAACAGTAAAACATCATAAGTTTCATTTCTTACCCAATGAATCCATTTTATTTAGGTGTCAATATATTTATCTCAAAAAACATGTTACTGAGGACAATGTTTCTATGTTCCCTACTGAAGATAGCATTTCTATGTGGTCATCCTTTAATTATCATGCGGATTTCAAGCCATTTGTGAAGCAAAGGCCTTGAGTGTTCGTCTGGCTCCAGAAATCAAACCTTTGACCTCCCACTTTGCAGACCAGCACTCTGCTAACTTATCTAAACATAAAGAACACTTTTACTCATGAAATGATGTCATTTAACTTTGCTAAACTGGTCTAGCTCCTGCAAAGTTTTTAACATCCGTCCTCAAATTTTGCTCTTGAAAGTATGCCAAAGCTCGGAGGAACGTCACTGCTACACTGGAAACAAAAACAATTACAGTTCTGTTTGTATTACCAGTGAAGTTTTCTAGGGGGGAGACGGGAGAAAATACATAGTACATTTTACAAATAAAAAGAGGGTGAGAGAGAGTGAAAAAAAAGATAAACTTCCTTGTCTTCTCCTCCTCTCTCTTTTCCTCTGAGGTTCTTCAGCCAAGTTTTGTATGGCTTTAACACTGGTAACCAGAACAACAACAACAACAACCTTTATTATTACATCCAACTAAAGAATTCTACATTTTTCGATCGCTAATCGAAACAAAAGAAGAAATAATTACAGTGATACATTATGATAGCAAGGATGTCTAGGTCTGGAGCTAAATTAACAAACATTATTTTTCATGCTAGCGCCTAGCTATAAAATGATATTTTTAACACAGTGGTGACAGGTAAAATAGTAGCAAAGAACAAAACAACAACAAATTAAGTAATTAATAAATAACACACACACACACACACTACACACTATATGGAGAAAAGAACAAATATGGTCAACTTTCAAATTGTCAAATTGTTGTTTTAGTAAGCGTGGGAAGGAGAAATTTGGGAGTTCTTTGAAATGATAGGGAAGATATTTCCAGAGGTCAACAGCTATAGATTGGAAGAAGAGTGGCTCAAAAAGGATATATGAATAGTTTTTTAGAGTTTCTTGGCATTCTTTATCTTATACAAACTACTACTGTAATCTAACAGAACAATTTTTTCCTTATGCAATATATGATTCGTAGTTGCTAAGGTTCAATAAATTTGCAGATTCCTTCTCAAAAGGATGGAACGATAAAATGCAGGTCGTTTTTTTTTCCCTGGCAAATATGACACAGAATAAAACAGTATTTACCACAAAAGTCCAATCCCAATATTTATCACAGTTTATGCCTAATATATTACAACACAATATGTTATCCTCTTTGCACAGTATGAATATTACAAGCACTTGAAAGGATAATCTTTGATATAGGTAAACATGTGCTATAGTGAACTTTCATGAGTGTGGAACAGAAGGTAGACACACTTTATACCAGTCACACACTTTCATTATCATCATCAGCAGCATAAAAATAAATTTGTACATCACTGTAAAAACAATATGATTTAAACAAAGGGTAAACCACTCCTGGGTGGTGTCCTGTACATTTCACTACACTGTACATGCATTGATGTGCCAATATTACCTCATTAAGTAAAGGGCTTTAAAAGCCTGTATCAAAAAATAATGACCAGTGGAACTGATTATAAGGTCTGTGCTAAGTGATATTTGATTATGGTAAAATTGTGTTTTTTATGGCATACTGAGGTTTCTATTAGCCTGGAATAGGCCCTTTGCAGCTAGCCATTCACATGGTAGAAAACCGCCACGCCAGCAGTCCCACTGAGACGAGACAAATAAAAGGCATACATAATTTTAAATGGTAATTTTCTTTGTTTATCTTGTCCCAGTATGACTTTTGCTTTCCAGTATGGCGGTTTTGTACCACATGAACGGCCACCTGCAAAGGGCCTATAGTTGGATCATCATCATCATCAAAGTCATTAAACCACTATCAACATTTATCAATGCACAGAACTACCATACTGTGTTTATGAGGTGTACTGTGCATTTTTAAGGCCATAATCAGAATACCCTAACTAAATTGAAAGCAGATGACAGTGAAAAACTCCAAGAGTTTATACTATATTCTTCCACTTTCCAGTTAATTAATACATCAAATAAGGAAATAATTTACAGGCAAAAAAGTGAAAAAATGCCGGATAGCACTATCAATCAGATAAATCACTATCCAGTGGATAAGAATTAGCTAAACCAATACTGCACTGGACAGAGATTTATCAGATGGATAACATTATCCACCTTTTGAGCAACTGGGGCCAGATGAGGAGATAATACTTCCCAACCTGGAATTAATGCTTGATTGTCATATAATTTATGGTGGTCCAAATTGATTATAGTAAAACAAAATTGTCAATGTTAATGTGCATATATGCATATAATGCCCTTCGAATGAATGTGCTAAGTTTTCACCTAAAATTTTAAGTATAAAAATGCATGAATTTTACAATACAAGAGAAAAGACCTGCTTTGACAGGCTATTTGCTATCTTATTAAAACCTAAAACTTGTCTTTGCATCAATTGAATTCCAAACATAATGGTCCTGCAGTCCTGTTATTTAAGATGACATTTAGGCATTAAAACTGTTTCCCGTCGTCTGTTGCTATGAATGGCAAGGACGAACATGGATTTGAAACTTGAAAACATTGGGCCAAGTTTTCCAACTTGCAATGCACCAAAAAAAAATTTTATGGTTATAGTTCAGTGACAATCTGATTAAGGCACACTTTCCAGTGTTGACTCATTAAGGGATGCAAAGAGAATTGAGTAAGAAGAGGCATTGGAATAATTGACTGTCTGAATACTTTGGCAGCACTGTTTGTGAGTAATGTTTCAGTACTATCATTAATAACCATAAAAATTTACAATGTAAAAATAGGTCACTGTAAAGACACTCAAAGGTGTCACTTTGATTGCTACAAGAGGCCAGTTTCATCACAGCAAATTAAGTATTTTAACATACCTTTTCTGAGGCTGTAGCAAGCCTTGTTCCCTGTAAATTCATTGCTATGCAGCTCAGTGCTGCCTCATGAGCTGCAATCTCTTGTGGAGGTCGTTCTGTGTTGGCCAAATCAACAATCTGTACATGGCCTGTCTTTCGTGCAGGAAATGCTAATAATGAGTTGTTGCTGCTTGGACATAGCACACACAAACCTAATAAAATAAGGCAAAAACAATTTGTTTTTTATTTTTATTTTAGGGAAGAGGACAAAAAAAGCCCTAATCTATAAATTCAACACCCTACACTTAAAATCAGTATGTTCTAAACGAGACGATAAAAAATCCAAAACTGGCCTTTGAAAAGTCACTGCAAAGTAAAACAAACTTTCCAGTAGTTTCTGTTTCTCTTTGAAAACGCATGTTAATCGCAGGTCTGTCTGTCTGCGGTCATAATTGAGCACAGACTCACATACTAAATTCAGTGTACAGTAAAGATAAATAGTTTGAAATGAGACAACTGATCAATGATACAATGATAACTACACCTTTAGGATTCAGAGCTGTTTCAAACACATGGAGCTGCTGAGGATTTTGAGTGAAGGTGAAGACTTTTATGAGCTCTGCAAGCACAACAACTATCCTAAAAAGAGAAGCAGTGAAATTAAATGTTATCAGTGAATAGCAGGGCTTTGTTATGATCGACTTAGCTGCTAAAGAAACAATAAGCCATCCATTGATCAGAATCAGCTGCTCATTTGTAACATACCTGTCTCTTCTCAGTTTCACAGCTTTAACGTCACTTGAAAAATCCAACTCAATGACACATTTCTTCTTCAAATCATCCCAGACCATCACTAGGATGAAACAAGATGCCAAATAAACAAATGGGGGAAATTTAACAAAGACAATAAAGTAAATAGACCAACCATTAAATCTTGTGATAAGGTAATCTTGTGATAATAAATTAGAACTGCAAGAACCAAGTAAATGACCAGCTTTCATGTTAGTTGCTCAATTGGTAGAGCACTGATGATTGGGGGGGGAGGTTAGCTCAGAAAAGCAAAAAACAGCTACTTTAAGATCCCTATAATTCTTCATATCATACAAAAGCCAAATTCAGTGATAATTTTAACCCAAAATATTTCTAAATTCAGTAAGTTCAACTTTTCACCCAAAAATATTTCTTAGTTCTTAAAGTCTTTTAAGTTTCAACCTTCTCATAGACTTTCCTGAAACATTTGCTTATTTCATGGGCAGGTTTTTTCCCTGCTGATACTCCTCNACTGATCAATGATACAATGATAACTACACCTTTAGGATTCAGAGCTGTTTCAAACACATGGAGCTGCTGAGGATTTTGAGTGAAGGTGAAGACTTTTATGAGCTCTGCAAGCACAACAACTATCCTAAAAAGAGAAGCAGTGAAATTAAATGTTATCAGTGAATAGCAGGGCTTTGTTATGATCGACTTAGCTGCTAAAGAAACAATAAGCCATCCATTGATCAGAATCAGCTGCTCATTTGTAACATACCTGTCTCTTCTCAGTTTCACAGCTTTAACGTCACTTGAAAAATCCAACTCAATGACACATTTCTTCTTCAAATCATCCCAGACCATCACTAGGATGAAACAAGATGCCAAATAAACAAATGGGGGAAATTTAACAAAGACAATAAAGTAAATAGACCAACCATTAAATCTTGTGATAAGGTAATCTTGTGATAATAAATTAGAACTGCAAGAACCAAGTAAATGACCAGCTTTCATGTTAGTTGCTCAATTGGTAGAGCACTGATGATTGGGGGGGGAGGTTAGCTCAGAAAAGCAAAAAACAGCTACTTTAAGATCCCTATAATTCTTCATATCATACAAAAGCCAAATTCAGTGATAATTTTAACCCAAAATATTTCTAAATTCAGTAAGTTCAACTTTTCACCCAAAAATATTTCTTAGTTCTTAAAGTCTTTTAAGTTTCAACCTTCTCATAGAGTTTCCTGAAACATTTGCTTATTTCATGGGCAGGTTTTTTCCCTGCTGATACTCCTCAAAAAGCAAATGACATCCATTGAGCAATATTTTTTCCATAGCCTTGCAATCACTCCATTCCTTTGTAGTTAGTAATTAAGCAATTTCATCTTCACAGAGCAGTGAACTAGCTTTCACCAATATAATAGGAAGATAGCTTTTATGAAAATAACTGAAGTTTCAAGGACTTGGAAGGGGATCTGAATAGCACTTCATCAGGATCACAATTGAAGAACACAGAGCCATCTTTGCTAGGAGCAATACCATGTGCATGTTACGAGAAACTAAGGTGTTTCCATTGATTTTTTTCAGAAATCTCATTTTGGACCAGTTTAATTTCCACCAAAAGTCACTTCTGCTGCATAAATTCATTTCCAAAAGTCACTATAAATTCTTGCTACATTGCAAGCCATTTTCCAGGGCTGAAACTAACCCTATAATTCGCTAAAATTTTCTACTTCCTGTAGCAATAGAGGTAATACAATTTGTTTTTTCATTTTTTCTTTTTCGCTGATCATTCCTGCATAATTGACATTAATTTTTGTAGGGGTTTTAAAGAAAGAGTTAAAGTCAATAAGAAAAGGTAAAATATTTCTAATAGTATAGTTTATTGTTACCTTTATTTTTGGGATACTTGGGATTTTGCCCTCCTCCCACAAGCGCAAGATAGTTGCAACGAAAAAGCATCTCAACATAGTTGATTCCTCCATCAGGAAAATCTATAAGAAAATTGACTATTAATAAACACAACTGGTTCAGTCTACAGATCTAAAGTAGCTTAATAAATCCTTAATATAGTCTATATAGCAGTTAGTCTGATGATAAACACAAATAGCAAATAGTTCCTTATGTATGCCAGACAGACAGATTAAACTTGGAGTATTAACAACATGCCAACCAGTTTACTTTATCATATCTCTTGTACAAAAACGGTTAAAGAATAAAACAGATCACATCATTCTGTGTTAACTGTTACTGAAAAAACAAGGCCCTA